CGCGCGCGTCTCCGCGCATCGCGCGCCGAGCAAAGGGCGCAATCTGACCTGTCATCCTCCGATATTCTGCATTGAGGGTGCATGGGCCTCGATGCCAGATGACCCTGCGTTATAAGCCTTGTTCGTGACAAGACAGCGTCGCAATCGATGCGGGGTCCCAGATCCTAGGGAAGTGCCAGGAACGCCCCATGGAGTAAAAACCAGACTGCGTTGCGAAACATCTTGCTGTCAATTCAACGGCATATCGATGAGGCCGAGCACTACTCTGACAGCCCAGAGACTTGATCACCTGCGCATCGCGACCGGGGAACGACAGTTCACCTCCTCGCAAAAGCCGAAGTGCTCCCGACTGGCCGCCCCCCACCAAGCATACCAACGCGTCCTGTTTACTGAGGTGCTGCTTATATCCATCCAACACAAGAAACTAATCTAGATCAGCATTGCTACGACGACTCAGCTGAATGAGTTCGCGTGGAGTAGTGAACCTCCCTCCCGCCAGCTGCTTAGTAATATCATCGGCATACTTTGTCAGGGACAGGTCCTGCCGCGTGCCGGATGCGGGACAAGCGGCGCGCAGGAAGCGAGGGTAGCGACCCCGGCCATGCCGGGCCTCCCGCCGGCGCCCCGCAGCTGGCTCGAAAGTGCGCGCACAAGAGCGAACGGCAAATCCATCTCCCAGAAGCCCACCACTGCCAGGACGTAAAGTAATCTGGTCATCAGAACCCCGAAGCTGAATGACAACCCATCGATAACGCTGCTCCCCGAAGCCCAATGACCCTGACCCCGGCCAGAACATGCGTGGAATTGCCGATCGCAGAGATTCCCGGCTGCTGGAACTGAACGCGTTCGCTAACTCGTGGGCATTGGCCACGCGCGATAGCCCCCACCGCCGCAATTGATATCCACTGAGATCATTCGCAAGCTGGGTCTTCTCCCGACGATGATACGGCGCGAAACCATGATCGCAGTCACCAGGCAGCCCTGGCCCCCGTTGATGCGTCAGGTTGGTCATGAAAAGCTCCCATCGGGTCCAGAAGGCGGGCCCGCCATGTTTTTCCGCCAGGGCGTGGAAGAGAAGCCCCCTCGCCGCAGTCCCGAAATTCGGATTCTAGCCTGACGCCCAAAGAAGAACTTCTGAAAGTCGAAAAGACGCAGTCCCTCCCGAGAAGCCCCGAGCCCCGCCATCTTCACCTCGCAGTTCTTGAGCGGGAGCAAAACCAACCACCATAGTTCCAGAGGCGGAGCCCATGAAGGCCCAGCTCGTCGCTTCCCGACCATGAGATGGGCTCGACGGATACCTTCAAAGTCAAGACTACCAGCTTCGCGATCAGCAGAGGCGGGCTCGACGCATGGTAACGCCCTAGACAAGAGAAAACCCCTCCACTCCTCCCAGTTAGCGATCTGCGCGGCCACCATTCCCCACTCGGCTCCAGGGTGGGAAAAATCGGCAACGAGCTCAAATGCGCTAGCGACAACCCCTCGAACAACTAGCCGATCGACAGGGGCGCGTCTTTCAGATGCCATGGGATGGCGTTAACAAGCCTCAGTGCCAAAGAAAAGCTGTCCCTCTTGGGTCAGCATGGCGTTGAGATAATCAAATGCCTGATCAGCCGCAAAGAAAGCCAGCGAACGCGCGCGCTGTCCTGAATCTCCCGAGATGTGAGCACCCACCGCTTCCAAGAAATCCCTGCGATCAAACCTTTTGCGAAGTGCCGGCATGAGCTCATCGAGATTCCAGCGAGGGCTCTCAAGATATGCATTCACGAGATGAGGATCCAAGACATAGTCAGAAGAGAAGCCACGTGGATGAGCGAACGACCTGATACCGCCTTCCGTCGAGCATACTACAACTCACGACTGAGACGATGAAGAGGACCAGCGCTCCGACAATGTTGGACCAGCGCAGCGGGCGCCGCAACAACATCTATCCAGCTAGACTCCCCACGAGGCCCAAGGTAGGCAGGACTGAAACCCTTGTAGCTGTTCGCCACTTGCAGCCCATGGAGAGCCAGAAGTCGAGACAACGCAGCACCTGCGCACAAACCGCGCGTCGTCACGCGTGGGCCCACAACCATAAGCTCGTCAGACATCCAGACACCATTCATCTGAATCAACCACACACCATCATTCACGTCTGAATGCACCAGCGGCGTAGCACGTTGGGGTAAAGACGCCAGACGCAGAGCAAGCCACGCAAGCATTTCATCAACCGTGCGCCGATATCGAGTCCACCGATGAGAATACTTCGGCTTCGGCGGGGAAATAACGAGACATTATCGTAACGCCAAATCCGCCAGAGCGTGCGCGACACAAAAGACCTCGACCACCAATCATAGCAGGCGCGCGCTCCGTACGAACGAGATGCTCAGCTTTCACTCGAGGTCCCTACATAATCGGCACGCCACAATGCATATGAATAAGCTCGCCAGCTGTCCGCCCTGCCTCCATCACCATCCGATTCCCCGCCTGTCTCTTCCGAAGAAATGTGCCTTGAGCAGCCTTGGCACGGGCACCGATCAGCGCGATGCCGTCAAAGATGTTCGTGCGGTCCGCAATGTCAGTTAGCCTGTCAAGAGAGCCAGACTGCATAGGATTGCATGAACCAGCCGTCAATGGAAATGTAGACATGACTGCGCAAGCGAGCCGCCAGAAACAGAAACACCTGTGCGACATGCACGTGACATCAAGTAGGGTTGAAACGTGAATGGAAAAGGGGTCGGCCAGGCCACATCTGCTCTGGGCCGAGCTGAGGAGCAAAAAGAAAGAAGATGAGGAGGATAATGATCGTTGCTGCTGTTGTCTTACAACTGATATTTCGACATGTTCGGCGGAGCCTGCAAGCGGCGGGCGGCGGCCGAGCAGATCGCCCCCTCCTCCTCCTTCTCCTCCTCCTCCTCCTCCTCCTCCTCCTCCTCCTCCTCCTCCGTCTCCGTCTCCTCCTCCTCCTCCTCCTCCTCCTCCTCCTCCTCCTCCTCCCGAGCCTCGCCTTCCCGAGCAAATCGCTGCGGTGCGCCGCTGGGCCCGAATGGTTGGCACGCACGGGGCTGCGCGGTCGGCGGATGGCTCGTCCGCCGACACAACGCGGGCTGCGCGGTGCTGCGGCAGCTGGCGCCCCCAGGGAGCGCCGCACACTCCTCGGCCATCCAGCAGCCGCAGCAGTCCCTCGGCGCCCGTGCTGCAGCAGCACGCCGCCGCGCTCGGCGCGGGGCCGCAGCGCCGCCGCCGGGAGGGCTGGAGCGCTGCCTGGCGCAGCTCCAGACTGAGGCCAGACGCACGCGCTGCTGCTGAGCGCCCAGCTGCGGGCTGCTGCGCGGGCCGCTGACGCCGCGGGCGACACCCGAGCCGCGCGCGCGCGGGCGCCGAGCTGACGCCACCTGCTTGGCTGGCGGCGGCGCCAGGCTGGTCCGACGGCGGGGCGCGGGCAGGGCGGCGCCGTGGCGGCCGCGCGGAACAGAGGCGGCGCTGGCCCGCCCAGGGACCGCCCGGAGGCGGCGGCGCCGCGCGGGCAAGCCGCTGCGAAGGGCGATGGCTGCTGCACGGGGCTGCCTCGGGGGCCGCGCTGGCTGGCGCTGCTGCCCTGCCGTGCCGGGAGACGCCGCCAGGCGACGCGGGCGAGCGTCGGGTGCTCGCGATCGCCTATGCGCTCCCCGGCAGCGCTGGCCAGAGGCCCTGGCTGGCGCCCCCCCTCCCCCTGGAAGCGGCCGCTTTTTGCGCGTTGATCCTGGGGAAACCGTTCCGTTGGAGGGACGGCGAAGGAGTGCGCATGGCTTCCGATTGCAAAGCTCCCGGCGGCGCGGGCGAACACGCGTCCACCGCTGGAGGAGGGGGAGGAGAGGAGGAGGAGGAGGAGGAGGAGGAGGAGGAGGAGGAGGAGGAGGAGGAGGAGGAGGAGGAGGAGGAGGAAGAGGAGGAGGAGGAGGAGGAGGAGGAGGAGGAGGAGGAGAAGGAGGAGGAGGAGGAGGACGACGACGAGGCCGAGTCACCAGCGATTGCGGACCATCCTGGGCGCTCCTGAGAATCCCTACGTACCTTGTTCAGAAGAATCGGGAGGGTGGCTGGGGAACAGCATGAAATTTCTGTTTGATGTTCGTATGCTAGGTTTTTTGTCGTACGAACGCCCAGAAAGCCCCTGAGATCGCGCCAAGACGGCCCCGAGGGCCCCCAAGCGAGGCCCAAGCGGCCCCCGAGACAGCCCAAAGAAGTGGAGCACGAACTGACGTTTGCAGGCCTCTACCCTAACTTCCTGAAAACCACCCGCCCTCATCCCTCTTGCCGCTGGAAGAGTTTGAGACGAATATGCACGGCGATGGGGCGATAGTCGCACATTAAAAAGCGCTGTCGCAATACAAACGGGTAGCTGTTGGGAACTTGTGCAAGACCAATGTGCACGGCACCAAAGAGAGAGCCACATTTTGAAAACCACCCGTCAACCATCCTTGCGATAGCCGAAATTTCAAAACCAGCCGCCATCCAATTGGAAAACTGCTGCAAGCTCTGGGACGAATGTGCGGGGCGTCAAGGCGAGAACCACATTCCGAAAGCCACCCACCCTCCATCTTTGTAGCTGATGGAAATTTGACAGACGAACGTGTGCGGCGCTAAATCGCGAACCACACAATGAAAGCGACTCGCCTTCAACACGTGTAAGTGTTGGAACTTTGTAGCTACAGGGTGGTGAGCAGTGGGGAAGTCTTACGTAAGCGAAACGCCCAGCCCGCCCCACCGACATGTCTGGTTTCGCGACGAAGAGAAAGGAGGATGTAGGAGGAGGAGGAGGAGGAGGAAGGAAAAGAAGGAGACCGTCCCGTTCCCCCGGCGCTGCCACATTATCTTCTAGGTATGCCCCCCACCCCACAGCAGCGAAGGTCGCTGGGGGGGGAAGGCTGCGCATAACTAGGTACGAAAACCCACATCGGTCAAGCCGTAAGGAAGAAGAAGGGGGAGGAGGACACGACGAAGGAGGAACCGGACCAACGCCCGCAGGATGGCGTCGGGCCCTCCTGCCCCATCTCACGCAGAAGCTCGGCGCTCTTCGTGCCTGCGGGCAGACGTCGTCAGGGTCGCGATTTCGAAGCTCCTCCTCCTCCCTCCTCACCTGCTTCTTCTTCCTTCCTCCTCTCCTTCTTCCTCCTGCTCTCCTCCCCCTCCTGGCCCTCCTCTCTCCCTCCTCTTGCCCAGGGAGCGCGGCGGACGAAATCAACATCAAGGGGGTGGAGGAGGTCGGGCAGTCGGGAAGATCGTGTGGGGGGAGAGGGGGGGATGCGGGGTTAGGAGGGGGGAATCTCGCCATCTCTCGGACATCCATTCCTCGTGCGTTTTTCGGTTTCGTGCGTGTTTTTCTTCGCAAGATGATCCAAGCTGCTCTTCGATGGTCCTCGCCGAGAAGAAAATGCACACGGCCCCTGGGGGCGGCAGAAGAACGGGTGGGGGAGGGCTTGCCATCGCTCAGACGTCCATTACCCGTGTGTTCTTCGACTTCGTGCGTGCTCTCTTGGCCAGATGATCCAGGATGCTCTCGATGGTCCTCGCCGAGAAGAAACTCGCACACGTCCGAGCGATGCCAAGGTGGGGGAGGGAAAGGGGGGCGAGGGGGCCGATAGAGAGAGAGAGAGAGAGATCAGCAACAAAAAACGAGAGGGGGGGGACCGGCTTAGGGCGAGGAGCATCGGCCAGGCATCGGCGATGCATTGTGCCGACACATCGGCGACAGGGCCCCCGACAGCGACTTCGCACAGTCCTGGGATGGGTGGGCTGTCAGGCACTTGTCGGTGATGAATGGCGATTGGGGGTCGATACTTTCCCCCCTTGAGCCTGTCCCGCCGTAGCGATAGAGAAAGAGAGGAGAGGGAGAGAGACAACCGAATACAGAGTGCGAGAAAGAGAGTTGGAGAGAGAGGGAGAGAGAGTGAGACAGAGAGGAAGAAAGATGGTGAGAGAGAGAGAGAGAGAGAGCCCCGAGAACGGATACGTTGAGGTGCCAGAGCATTGGCGCGCCCAAGAGAGCTGCGGCCGTGGGTGGATGCGTTCCCCACGCTTCGTTCCGTCCAGGTAGGCGGCGAGAAGGAAGGGGCTTTACGCGAGATGGCATGGCGACCTTACGCCGCGGCTAACGCGAGCCGCCAGCGCGGAACGCTACACCTGGAGACGAGGGCGGTTACGCGCGACTTTGCGCGGGCAGCTTACGCGCGAATGTCGGCGCAGTCGACCCCATTTTCTCCCGGCGCTCAGGTGCACCTGGCGGCGGGCACAAGGAGGTCGAGGGAGGGGGGACGGCCTCGTAGAAGGAGGCTGCTTCTGAGAAGGCGCCGGCCTTACAACATCTATAGGTAAGGCCCGCGCCTTCTGAAGAAGCAGGGGTGCTCCTAAGAAGACTTCCCCCCTCCCCCCACCTCTGCGCGTGGCTGACCTCTGCCGAAGCCCTTGACGAGCCCGCGCGTGCGGCCACACCAAAACTTTCTCGACGCGCGGGCCGCGGAGGCCTGGACCACCTCCCTGGGGCCGGCCTTTGGTCCCGAGTCGTTTTCTGACCGCTCCGAGGCCCGGCGAGGGCCCCTGAAAACGGCCCCCCAAACCCACCGCTCCAGGCCGTGGATCTGGCAGCAAAAAAAAAACCTGGTTCGGAAAGTCCTGGCCCTGACCTCCAGGAAGCAGGAGGAAGAGGAGGAGGAGGAGGAGGATGAGGAGGAGCAGGAATACGTAGGGGGCTGAGGAATACGTAGGAGGAGGGAGCGGAAGGAAGAGGAGGGGAAGAAGAGCGAGATGGAGACCAGGCGAAAGACGAGAGGGTGAGATGGTCTGGAAAGTCCTGGCCCTGGCCTCCAGGGGGCGCACCGCGCCCAGCCGCGGGGGGAGCGCGGCGGGGGGTCTCGCTGGTCGGGGCAGCTCGGGACTCCTCCACGCGCAACGAGTGACCCTGGGCAAGAGGGACCTCCAGGTGTCGGAAACAGTTAAGGAACATTCGCGCATAGCATATGGTGTGAACTCCCCTCCTCCCCCCGAATGCAATGTTGGGCTCGGATCTCCCGAGTTTGAGTGTCGGACCAGTGATGCGTATATGTGCCAACTTTGAATTGCGGGGGGAAGGGGAAGTGTTGCCTAATTCTTTCCATCAACCGTCTTGTGGGCCGATCCTCAAGAAACCTTCCACAAGACACCCAACCCTGAGGCCATGGAGCTTCGGTGTGGGAACGTCACGCTCTCCAGCGCAAAACCATCGGCACCCTGGGCACCCTGAAGGCAAGCAGCGTGCTTCTTGGCATGGGTCTCCACTGTATGGGGACCGCGGGTGGGCCAAATCCGAGCGCGCACGCCAGAGCTGGGGGGAGCTCTGTGCGCCCGCGCCAAGGGCCACTCCGGCAAGAGGTTTTTCTCACGAGTAGCCGAGGGATGGCCAGTCGGGGTGCCGGCGTCCTCGGCGCAGCGGGCTGCGGGAGGCACTGGCGGCCTGCGGTGGCCGCGCCCCGAAGCACGGCGATGGCCGACGTCATTTGCACGCAGATCGCGTCGACAGCGCTGGGAACCTGGTCGTCGAATTCGGTTGGTTCGGCAGCACAGTTGATCGTTGTGATTGGTCGGTCGGAGGATTTGGTCAGGTGGTCAGGCAACTCAGTCGTCGCGTCGGTCAGCAACTCGGTCGTCACGTCGGTTACCGAGGCGTGCTCGAGCGGAATGGTCTGTGGCTGGTCTTGAGGGAAGCACCGGCGCCGACACCAAAGACTGGGCACCGACAGGCTACAGTACGATCGCGCCGCCGGCCTTCGACGTGCAGCTTGCCTCGGCCGAGTGCGCGAGTGGCAGAAGCAAGCTCGCAGCATCTCAGAGGAGCCTGCCGGAGCCCCCCGAGAGTGCGCCGACGCCGCCCTCGGCTCCACCCGCAGCGCGCTGCGGGGGGGAGACCGTCATGCCCGCCAGAGCTTGCGGGCCGCTGCTCTCCAGCAGCCAGCCCGGCAGGCGGCCTGGCCTGGCCTGCCCGCGGAATCCCTCAGGGTGGCACCGCTGACGTGGTCGTAGGCTTCCGAATAGCTGCGGCCCAGTCAAGAACAGCCTGCGCGCCCATAGTGGGCAAGTACAGTAGCTGGGTGCCCGTGGGCGGCATCCTCCAAGCAAACACATCGTACGCGGCCCCTCCTCCTTTCCCATCTCCGTGCCCCCTCATACTGGTCACCATCTTTTGGCTCCCATTCCTAACCATCCTACCCCTCCTCCTGCTCGTGCCGATCCCCTCCTATGACTCGTCGTCGTCGTCCTCCTCGTAGTCGTCGTCGTCCTCCTCCTCCTCCTCCTCCTCCTCCTCCTCCTCCTCCTCCTCCTCCTCCTCCTCTCCTCTGGCCTTCGGGGCCCCCCTCGTCGCCACGGCTGAACCCAGCGACAAAAAAATTGCGTTTGGACCCCTGGAGGGGTTCAGCCAGGAACCCGTTTTGAGCGGATTTCGGCCTCCAGGCGGGGGCCTCGGGCCGCGTGCCCTGCACGTCCAGATCTCAGGGCTGGGAGCAGGGATGCGTCCTGCGAGGGAGCCATCGTAGGAGGCGCGCGAGGCGCCAATCTGGCGCAGGACATCCCAGGAATAGTGTGTGCGCTGTGAGACTAGAAAGTCACGTTGGGGCACCAGCTGGCAGGGCGGACTCTTGCTCTCGGCACGGGCTGTCGCCTGCGCACCCTCCTGAAAATTTTGGTAACCAGTCTGGCAAGCACATTTGATGGCGGTACCTCTTCTTCTTCCTCCTCCTCCTCCTCCTCCTCCTCCTCCTCCTGTTGCGTTTTCTATAGCGGTTCTAAAGCTCTTATCGGCCTTCGATATTTGGAGGTTCTTCCTCGGTTCCAGCACCAACGGCTGATATACCTGACGCGAACAACACACCAACCTGCATTCCGACACTTTGGGCAACACTGAGGCACACCAATTGAACTGATGTAATTGAACATTCGGCATACAACTATTTCAAGATATTCACACCATCTGAATAAAGGCGTGTAAGTTCCAGCGCTGGCTTGGCAAGCGCAACGCCAACTTTTCAGCAAGGCTAGGACACTGCGGTGCAAACTCCCGTACCCGTACGACCGCTTATGGCAATAGCTCTGGCGAGTGTTTGTATCGCAAGCGCCAGCTGATATCTAGGGGTCGACCAATCAACCAGCTGCTCAAAGTTCGTCTCGGCCAAAGCCTACTTCCTCGCCACCTGGACCAAAGGGGCCCTTGTATAAGAGGAGCTCCGCGAGCCGATCGGGCAGCAACCAAGACACGAAGTACATCGCAGTTCCAACTGGCGTGGTGGTATACCTAGTCTTCGGCTTCTCTGCTGTTACCGCATGGTCAACAGCCCAAATGGCCCACACAGGGCTAAAGCCAAAATCTTTGCCACTTCGAAGGATCTTAAAACCTGGAGGATATACCTGCCTAAGCTCTGCGCTCATGCGATCGCGAGCCGCCTTGATCATGGAAGGTCCGCGTAAGACCATACCACCTTTCGTTCCAGCTGGTTGAAGCAGAGAGACAGAGACGCCCAACCCGGTCAACTCGGCGCGTAACGCCCGCGTGAAAGCCAGAAGCGCCCCGTTGCAAGCAGACTTCATCGCGTATTGAGGGATTGGCATATCAGGCGCGCCCACCACTACAACACGACTCTTGTCAGTTCGTATCTGTGGCATCAACGAGTGGATCACGCGGAGGTTTCCCAGCACATTTGTCGACATTAGTATTTCGAGCTCCTCGAACGGAATGCCTTCGAATGGCCCCATGGACGTGATCCCAGCATTCGCGATCAAAGCCGCAAGGCTTCTGTTCGTCCTCTTCAGTTCGTCTCTGATTTCTTTACAGGCTGAGGCCGCCTGCTCGACAGAGTTCAACTCAAGAAGTAAAGGGTGGACCGATTCACCGAACGCCTCCACCAAGGCAACTTTGTCCTTTTCTGCGCGCACGCTGCCAAATACCAAGAAACCTCTGCTCACAAAATGCGCTGTCATCTCGCGACCGAGGCCGCGCGACGCTCCGACAATAAAAATTGCGCTGTGCGCTGGGCTGTGATGGGGAAATATTGGGCA